CATTTATCACGCAAGCTAGAAACATGAGGAGATTGCCCCCTTCATGTCCCTTTAGATTTTTTTTTTTTTTTAAGTAAAAGAAAAATAATGAGGAGGTTGCCTCCTTCATATCTTTTCTTTATATATTGAGGAACTTGCTTTTTCTCAACTAGTAAAATTCAAGAAAATGTGAAATTTGACTTCGAACTTTATTCCTTTATTTAAAATTTTGAATGTAACAATTAATAGATAACAATCATAAACTTTCATTTCTCTTTGTTTTTCCAGTACTCTATTGTTTCCAGTTTATGTTCACAATAGTCCCTTATCATCCTCGAAATCCCTTCCACAAAATTTGAAGCCACATCATGTTGATTTGGTGGAATAGTATGCTCAACCTTCATTGCTTCAGAATAGATTTCATTGACCAAATAGAGCACCTTTCCTCCTTCTCTCTTTAATTGATCGATTGTAGCTAATGCCTCACTCAATTGTCCATCTAATCCTCTTACCTCTACTTCTAATCCTCTTATCTTCTCATGTTGATAAACTTGCCGTGTTTGCATTAATGCCAATTTTTCCTTCATCAGTTTTTCATTATTTCGAGCTTCCTCATGTTGTTGCAACAATTGTAATTTATTATCAAGCAAATTCTCCACTTCATTTTCAAAGCCCTTAAGTCGATCAATCTCATCCTGTTGCTAGTTTACTTAAGCTTTTAAATCAGCCTTTTGATCCTTGACTTGATTGAGCTCATCCTCCAACTTGTTTTTATCATCCATTAAATGATCATTCAACCTTTCTTCCTTCTAGATGACCCTTCTTAATTTTTTAAGAGTTTGAGCATGCCTATCAACTTCTTTCTCTGCCTCCTCTTTTTCAAAAGTTATAAAATTCTTTTCTCTAATCAATTTTTGCTTCTCACCTTTTAGAAGATAAATGTCCATATTTTTCTCTCTAATTTCGTTTCCATGCTTGACCCTTTGAGCACACAACAAACCTTCTAGCTCTACTATTCTTTTCTTCAAATCCATAATGATAGCTTCTTTAATAATAGGAGTGTCATAGGAGATAACTATGTCTTGAAGCCAAACTTTCCTCCATTCTTCAAACTCAGAAGTGATTGAAATCTTGTTCCTTGAGAAACGAACTTCACATTGGGACCATACTTCCTTGGCAAAGCCAATTTGATTAATTACTTGAGTATCAAGAGAATAATCAAACCAACATGAAGAAATACCATTTAGCAATGGTTTACTTTGCCTATCAGAGAATTGCCTCATCACTAGTGCTGAACTATAGCTAATAGCTCTTTGAATGCCTAACAATGGAATCCAATTATGGCCATGTGGAGGATAAAAGTAACCAGTAGACTTCAACCATGTCACACACCAGACTATGCCTTTAGATTTCAAATTCAAGAATTGTTGATGTCATTGGTCAGCCATTTTCTTTTCTAATTGATTCTTTTTTTGCAAAATTTCAAACTCCCTAATTGTGGAGAAATTTACCTTTGATAAATGTACTTGTATCCATATCGTAAGCAAACTAGCCAAACATGTGAATCAACCCTTGCCATGAGCTCTTATATAATTAGCATCGTGTACAGTTTCAGCAGTTAAAACAGGAGCAACATTAAGATTTGGATTCTTGATCAGCTGCTCGAACATGGCTACAATCAATGAACTAATACCATCCATATTAGTGGGCAAAATAACCATTCCATATATACCCAAGGCAATAAATTCAAGCGATCCTCCTCAAAAAGTGAATTTAGATCAAATTTTAATTTGGAGTACATCATGTTCCAAATAACTCCCCAAACTTCATTTTTCTTCATAATGCAACTTTTTGTGAACTCTAAAGGAAAGCTCAAAATCTTTTGTAGCATGGACTGAAATTGCAACTTATTTAATTGAAAGTTAACAGCGTTTGGAATATAAATTTCTGAACTCATTGCTGGGCGACTGAACAATAATTGAAAATATTCTTCAATGGTGGGTACCATCTCAAACTCAGGAAAAACAAAGCAATGAAGATGCGAGACATAAAATCTTAGGCTTGCCCTAATGATTTCCCAGTCCGACTCTACTTGCAGCACATTAGCTGTTCTACCAAATTTCTTGTCAAACCTCACTTTGTCAAGATTACTTAGACTATTCCAAGCAGCAACCAAGTTGTTTTTTACACAAGGTCTCTTGGTCTGCATAGAGAATCCATCCTTGTGTGACTTGTTCTTCTTGGATAATGGTAGACATTCTAACTCTAAATTCACCCTTTTTCCCTTACTATTCTTTTTCTCCAAAGAATCCATGTGTAAAATAATCAATTACCTATTTATTAAAGAAAAGAAAAAGGAGAATTAATAAATGCCATACCTCTTAGTCGAATTCCTCACCTAAGAAACAAAAAAACATTGTTTAAAAATAAAATACTCCCTACGTGTCCTATGTATAAGGTTCTTAGACTTTAAAAGTGGTTTACTAGGCTAGCCACCCTAAGGTTAAGTTTTGTCTAAGTCCACTACAATGCGGTTTCCTAGTGGATCCTATATGATTAGGCCTTTTCAACTACTAACTTCCATAAGTCAACTATTATTGATCTCTATAAAGTCAACAATTGCCAACTTTTATAAAGTTAACAAGAGGCATTTCATGACCTAACATAACAGCAGCATTATGGCTGTCAGGCCATATTAACCCACAAAATGAACGTAAAAGGGCTAAATCCCACTTCACAAAAAAAGCATTGCACTTTTCATTGCTCCATGAGTTATCCATCTATCTAGAGGTCGGGTTCACCTCATCAAGGACAAAAATGATATGCAAGTGAGGTGTGTGAGGGAGTATACAAATAAAGTTAACTTATGAAAATAACAAAAAAATATTAAATAAAATAACAAAATAAAAAACTTACAAGGTACTCTATGCCACCTACAAGACAGAAGTTAGTAATTGAAAAAACGCCAAAATTAAAGTATAAATGGCTTGACCCCTCAATGTCCTCAGTGGAGTCACCAAATTGTTGACGTGCCAAAATGAATAGAATCGTCATCCATCCAAATGAGGTGGAATAGATCACTAAGGTTTACGTAAAAATTGACTAGACTTGAAGGGTGATTAAGCGTGGGAAAGGTATTAGGCACTCCACAACTTTCATGTAATATGATTACCATATACTTTAAATTGAGGAATTTTCAAATTTTATGGAAAACAAAAAAAAAAGAAAAAGAAAAAGAAAATAACAATAATAATAATTACCAAAATAAAAAAAATAAAAAAAAAACTCCAATAAAAAAAACCGTCATTGTCCTTTCCCGTTTCTGTTTTTCCTTTTTTTGTTTTTTTTTTTCCGTTTCTTTATATATATATATATATATATTACTTTCTGCACTTTTCCTTTCCTTGCCCTCTTCTCGTTTCTGAATTTTTTTTTTTAATTTTTAGTTAAAGAAAAAAATTAAAGAAAACGAATGAAAGACGAAACAGCCACATTGGTAATGAAGCTAAGTGACGAACAGAATAAATGAAGAAAGAAAATTTGAAGGGCTACATCCTGACGAGCAGAACAGGTGGAAAATGAGTGAGAATAATATTTTCTTCCTCAAGATCACTTGCAGACAAACCATGAAAAGAAACAACTTAAAAAAAGAAACCAAGCAATTACCTATAACAAAAAAAAAAAAGAAGAAAAAAAACACACCTGAAGAAGTAGAGAAATCCAATTTTATTTGTTTGCTGTAAACTTCAAAATACAAGATTTCTTCCTTCCTTTGCTTCACACTCTCTCTGCCGGCTCTCGGATTTCTTCCCCCTTTCCCTCAATTTTTCGAATGCCCCTTCTAAAGCCAAAGGCCCCCTTTTATAGACAACAAAGAAAACCCAATCCTAATATGCCTCTCAAATCCCTAAGATAACAACCCAATCCTACTTAGAATGGGATTTCTTAGTTCTTCCCACATCTACCCCTTTTTAGGTCTAAATTCATACCTTTTTATGCATTAGGACTCCCTCCTTGAATCAATTTCGGACTCTTTGGGGATGGTGACTTACGGTTTGTACGCCTTATCCAAATCCTTCAATTGGCCGAGCTTATCTTTGAAGAAATCGCGCTTTAACCAAATTGAAGTTGATGAAAAGGAAAAATGAGAGCGGAGGTGCGGCAAGGAAAAAAAACAGGGGAGGCTAGGGTTCAACTGAAAACCCAGCATTTTATTTTTTAGCCCATTTTCAAAACGACGTCGTTTTGCCATTTCCACCTCTCGACCCCTTCAAGTTTCCAGCTTTACAAAAACAGTTCATTGACTTCTGATTTTATCATTTAACCCCAATTAAAATTGGGTTATGACAATTCTGATCCTTTTTTACCAAAATATTTACAATGATTCTACCAAAAATTTAAAATCGATACAGTTGAACATTGAAGAAAAGAAAAGGAGCAATATAAGTTGATTTTGATCTCTCACCGTACCAGACTGATTTCAATTGGGGAAACAATTAATGGGGGAGCAGAAGAGAAAAAAAACAATAGGGGTATTGTTATCCAAAATAAATCCGGATTCTTAAGAGATTTGAATTTAAATTATGGTTAGAGTTAGGATTTGTTAGAATATCGGATGAGTTCGGATTTGTAAGGATCTCTGATGAGTTAGGATTTTGGTATAGAGGGTTTTAAAAACCTTTGAAGAAATAGCCAGGGAGATGAAAAAAAAAAAACTCTCCTTTTAATCCTAATAATATATTTCAATCTATGTACCTCTCCTACCACGAATGAAATCCTGATTCCTCTGTTCGATTTCCTTTTTGGGTTATTTTTCAATAATAACAGACATAGAAGAGAGAAGGCAAATAGAGACGGGTGACAGGAGAAAAGTTCTACATAGTACAAGTAAATAAGGGCATTTAATCTGAATAAAAAAGATAAGATTTAGGTATATAAAAGTTTTATATATTATATTTACATAAAATTTTGATTATTTATTTTTTTATTTTCAATTGATAAGATTTCTTAAGAACATTTAAGGTTTAGATATATAAAAGTTTTACATATTATA